TGATATTTTATAATTCAATTATTATTATAAGTAATGGAAGAGGAAGGTGATGGAAGCTTCAATGAAATTTTCCTATTCAATATTTTGTGCTATGTATTTTAAGGAGTTTTTATATTATTAAATGTCGGTTAATTTTTGGAATCGTTTATCATAAATTAATGTTAGTTTTCTAAAATTTAATTAAAGCTAGTGAAGAAAGTTTCATTGGAGCATTTACTCTTATGAAATTTCTAGAGTAACAGATTATAAAACGCTATTAATGATTAGTTTTTAAAATATAGTTACATAGAATCCATTGTTATTTGCAATAATCATCATTACTCGTTAACATAAAAGTTAGAGCCAAATTATCCCGAAATAATTAGTCAATTTTTATAAATTCTGATTTAAAGAAATGATAATAAGGAAATAATAATGGAAGCATAAGTTTCATCTTTTATGGATATACGTACAAGAGAAAATTGTTGAGAAATTGGTAGATGATATCTTAGCATTGAAATGCGTAGAACACCCTGTATGTAAGTAGTCTGGCTTGCAATGTAACTCATAGAAAAACCTGTGCACATCGTTTATGCATGAATGTTTGTGTATGTGTAACGGTACTAAGATAGGGTGTCTATACACACAGGAGAGAAATAGAGTTATCTTCGCAAACAGGGAATGGCAATGCAAAGCTGCCAACGCTTTTTCTTTGCCAGTACATATGCATAATTCAATAGCGAGTATTGAAAATTAGACACGGCTGGCTCGTAAACAGCGGATTACACGTATTACATTTTGTCCCACATCGAATTAGCTATGCTGACAACCATTTGGACGCGCCAGTGTCTTTTCTCTTCTTAATTCAAAATTGTAATAAATATCACTCTACAAATGCCACTGAAATCCATGAATTACGGGATATTATCTTTCACGCTTCTCAATTTAATATTATACACTGAGAAAACTGGAGGATTGGACTAAACACTTGGAGGGACTAATCGTTCATATTTGAGTTGACTATTGGAAAACAATCTAAATATTCAAATACACCATTGACAGATATTCGTGCCATTTCTCTTGGAAGGAAAATGAGTTTATAACAGAGGGACAAATTAACCATCTTGAGAAATCCCTTCCTTATCCGGCGCGAAATGAATAAATATGGCAACCTAACCCATAAATTAAAAATACATAAAATGTCACAAAAATAAGTTCGCGCGCATCAGATCGTGCACATTTTCTGCGCAACTTTTAACCCTCAGATATAATGGGAGAAAATATACAAGTAGATTTCCATTACCAATTCAAAATTTATTTTAGGAGGACTATTTAACTCTCTTCATAAGCAAAGAAAACATACACTTTTTGAACCTCAGTATTTGACTCTCCAGTTTTCTCAGTGTAATATTCCAAAACAGACATTTTCTCACGCAGCGTATATCAGTTAAATACTACAAATTTTTTGACGCTTTTAAATCAGTTAATATAGCGTAATTTATCAATTTTAGTTAATGTCCAACTAAATTTCACTTAATAATAAATTTCAATCTAACCGTCTATACTCTGTTCAAAGAGAGAATGCCCTCGGCAAAGGACGATTTTTCGTCTAGATCGCGCAGAATGTTGTAAAAGTGAAAGAGTTGGTGTGGTTTTCAATTTAGAAACGCCTTTTTCGTTAAAAAAATTAGTTTGAGTCGTGGTCTTAGTCTACCCTTAAAATGTTGACAATAGGAAAAAAATTTTTCTTCCGTTTCACATTTATGAGGATTTCCATAAACCTGAGTTTAAAGAGTCATAAAAAAAAGAAAAATTTAGAAAAATTTTTATAATGTATTTTTAAAATTTTTATCAAATTATTCAGAATCTACAATATCTAACAATTTCAATGATTTGTTATTTTTTTCGAAAGAATGAAATTTAAACATGGATCTATAAACTTTTAAATATTCAATTTAACTGTCCCTTAATTACATTAATTTCAATGTATCAGAGACAAACGATATACTACTGTTTAAATCGTATTAACATAAGGATTTTGAATTTAGCATTCAAATTTTGTAAAATTAATTTGTTAAATTATTCAATTTTTCATAAATTTATTAGCATTTGAATGTTCCGTTTAGGGTTTTGGGTTATAAATCACGCTTTTGTTGGGATCAGGCCCATATGGGAAAGGAGAGGTCATATCTTTTTGATGTATAAGAGTGAAATACAAAATTGTCACTGGATATGCACTTAAGAAAAAAAGTAGTAAAACGCCATTTTAAAATTTTTCTCCGCCTTAAAAGAAAAAAATCTGCGAGAGCGAGGGCATTCTCTCTTTGAACAGAGTATACTAGTATTGATATTACTGCGATAAATAACTCCATTTAAATATTTTCATTGAATGACATAATTATTTATGTTACCTAGAAATAAATTCATCTTATATTGAGAGGATGTTTCTCTTTCTAATATTCTCAATACAAAAATGCTTTTTTTAACTCTTCGTGATATAGAGGACGTTTCATATAATATTGAGTTTGCTGAGTTAAGTTATGGTCAAATTCTGTTTTTTACTTGTAGATTAAATTTTTCCAATAAAACAAAGAAGATTAAGAAATGTCAGAGCTACCTACGGCCCTGTGCCTATTTCAACCTCATCTATCTCATATTTCATCGGTCCTCATCAAGTTTTCTCCCTATTTGTAATTTGCCTGAGGCCTCGCAGTATTATTATCATAACCGCCACATGCAGAACTCGATGCTTATGCTCTATTATCCGTTGCTTTTCAAATCCCGTGAAATTCTCGCGTGTATTTCTTATAAACATATACACAAGTTTTCCCCAGATGAGGGCAACTCTCACCAAAGTAAAACTGCAACGCATAGTATAACATGATACAAACAGGTTGTCTTTGATGTAATGAGTTTAATGTATCTTCGTATAGATGTAACAACGGAGATTACAAGGTAATTTAATTACTAGGCGCTGTCGTTATTTGCTTGTAGCAAAACAACAGAATAACCATGGGAGGAGAATCAACATTATATGCAGGAAGAAAACGTGTTCTGTCAAATGACAAAACTCTCCGTTTTTTTTCAATTTCTAAGTTGTGCAATAACGTGGAACAACATTTTGCTTCAGGTGATATTTCAGAAATTTTTACCCATCATGTGAAAATACTCGGGCAAATTTTATCTCCTATAAGAATCCCGCGGATTATGTTGAGAAAAGGATTAAAATTTATTTATCGACCATTGGGATTTTTTTGGAAAAAATTTTCTAACTGTTTGTTATAATCTATAAATATTACCACTAGCTGATGACTATATTACATACACAGAAAAACCTATACTCAAAATGAGTATCATATGATACTCATTTTGAAGTGCAACAAAAATGATACCCCTTCGACTCATTCTGAGTTTCTGGGGAAAATACTCAAAATGAGTAAAAAGCTGTATCATTTTGGGTTTATGATAAAATTACAATAACATTGGAATAACTGGGAATAATTCATAAAAATATGAATTAAAATAATTGTTTATAATAAGTAAACACTTTGCACTTGTCAAAACATTTATACTTGAAGTCGATTTATCGCATTTATGAGAAATGAAAAACGAATTTTTAGGTTAAACATTTGTGAATTGACTGACAGGGATGGGCAACCATATGTCATTTTACTCATTTTGAGTCACTTGAAGTTGCCGATTACTCATTTCGAGTCACTTGAAGTTGTCGATTACTCATTTCGAGACCGACTTCCAAATGCGTTGCAACAAAAGTGAGTCGAGTTTTTTTCTGTGTAAGTAATGCAGCATAATGTATAAAAATGTATTTGTTCATAAATCACGAAATCTAATATCGACAAAATGGATTATTAAGAAAGATTAAAATTCCACTATATTAAAGTATAAATAAGTCTGTTTAATTTTGAGAAGAATTTAATACAAAAATAAAAAATGTATGAAAAAAAAATTAAGAAAAAAGGAACAATATTTAAAAACCAAATTGCAAAAGGAAGAGTAAGTGCTAAAGCATTTTTTCGAAACTGGATCAACTCCTAAAAAGCATATAGATAAAGACTCGTTGCTTAATTAATTTATGAATCACGTTCTTCTGGATGCAAATGTTGACTTTAAAACATTGGTACCTCTTTTTTCGTGCTAAGAGAAAATTCTGATTAGGTCACTTAAATATTCCTCATAGTGTAAGTTTGTTAATAGAACTGCTCTTATACATACACTATCACTGGAGCATCCAGATAGAAGGAGACATGAGTAACCTTCAGAGGGACACGAACTGGTGACATTTTCCAGTCACCTTTCTAATTCGTAATACACGATCATCCGTGTTGGCTCGGGACCTCTGACCTCTCCTTTATGATCATCATTCTTCTTTGATTTTTTTTATTTTTCATGTATAATCATTACGCAAAAAAACTTTAGCCATAAGCATAACGAATCGTGTTTCGGAGTGTATCGTTCTCACGAAGATTTATTTTCTCTCTTACTCTCTCTTAATATTACAGAACTGAAGACTATAAAAATTGTACATTTCATATTATATATCCAACAAGTAATTTCATTTCTATTTGAAAGATATTTATCATTTTCTACACCTTTGAATATTATTCGCCCATCATTCTCTTGCAATTCTTATTGCAAACTATCCCAAAGATTTTATGCTTAATATATAATGGGAGAAAAAAATTCACCTGTTTAATATTTCTATTTAATGTTTTATAAGAGAAAAACTTTAACTTGTCTATTTACTATCAAATGGATGGACAATATCGCACATTAATCATACAAAAGAATGTAGTAAATATTTCCATTACATTATTTACATAAATATTCATGTTAAAAAATTGTTAACTTTTTTGTAATTTGTACATCTTATAATAAGTTTGTAAGGGATTTAAAGTATTAAGTTGGTTTTGCAAATTGATAAAAAGATAGTATATACGTAAAACTACTGTGTCTCTCACAAAGTAAAAAGCAAACGAGTAAAAAGTGAAATTAATTTTCAGATAAAAATCAAAACATGTCGGTGCTATTAGAAGCGAGGTCTTTCAGGCCTTTCAAGTCATCCGAGGAGTACTTAGTCGCAATGAAGGAGGATCTAGCCGAGTGGTTAAATGCCTTGTATCCAGAGTTAAGGATTAACCTGGACAACTTCATGGATAGGCTTGACACTGGTGTTCCCCTATGCAAAGTGAGTATTTCATTAAATTTCTTTTAAAGTTTTCTTCGTATCTTTTATTTCTCTCTATATCGTTTCCCATCAATCAACGAATAATTGAATATTTAAGGAGATACAATTTTAACAATTTTATTTCTAATTTTAATATTCAAATCTGATTGGTGAAGCTTTCCTATGAATCACATATAGTGAATGCTCTGAGCTTACTATGACTTTGCTAACGAAATACCCGAATATCGCTAGTATGCTCAAGGGAAGCTTACAGCAAGATAATGTGCTATGTGGGTCATTGAAATAAAGTGTATAAAAAATGTATTCAAGAGAAAAGAAACAATTTTTCACTGAAGAATTGACAATGATGAGTAATGGCGAATATTTCAATTGGTTTTCAAAGATGTTTTCTTTGAATTTAAGTATTAAAGGGTCAGTTATACTTCCTTGAAAAGCGCTACTTACAGCACTTCAACTCGTCGTAGATCAGAGAAAGTCTTTTTGTAACGGACAGTAAACGTCCTCGCGAAATTCAAAGATGCACATATTTTCAATGGTTAAAGATCGTCACAGATTCCGCGTTCACGCTCTCTCATAAATCTTTCAAAATTCACATATTGTGAACGTTCGCGCACACAACATAGGGAAGTGATAATAATAATAATTAAATAGTTTTGAGCGCTTCACTTGAGCATCAATTGATTTTCTTATGCAAAAAAATGTTTCCGTGTTTTAAATGTTTTATATGTGATTTTAAAATATCTATTCGAATAAGTAGGCAGTGTAATTATGTTTATGAATTCGATTTTTTAACACAAATGTAAATGAAGTACACACTCAGGATCTATATACATTTCTACAATTTCAATTGAAAAAAATCCTTTCTTTTTTAATATTCTTCTTTTCCATTCGTGAAAGGTCGATTGGAGATTCATGACACGTGTGAGACACAGAATTTCCCTTGAACGTCATAAACATCATTCTTCCTTTTCAGAGAGAGACTCATGCGCCACATGCACGTGTCTGCATTCAACATACAAGTGCATTCACCTCTAAAGTTAATAAATGTCTTTTGTATGTTTTTATATAACAAAAGTTACACATATATACAAAAGAAATTACCCAAGTGCGAAATGCCTGGACTGAAAAAACTGCCCATCAATGGTTTAGTAATATGTCTGCCGTGAAAAGACAAAAGTTCCTGGGCCAGTACTGGTATACAAATCGTCCCTTTTTAATTTTCCTCAAGAATTTTTTTATATTTAAACCATTTTTCACAAGGATTACAAAGGAATAAATAAATTTCTTAATAAAAATTAATAAAAAGAAAAAAATCCTTGAGAGTTTTTCGAGCAAAATTAATAAAATGCAAAAAAATCCTTGAGGATTAAAATAACAAAAATACCTTAATAAATGGAAAATTCTCGGATTTGAAAAAAAATTTCCGATTTTTTTCTTGTTTTTTCCCGATTTACCGGGCCGCTAGACACCCTGTAGGCTATAAATTAACAAAAACAGATTTTAATAACTGTTCAACATAGACTCAATTTTAATTGCTTTTATTGTATACATTTTACAAATGAAAAATTTGACATGATTCGAAAAAAACAAGAACTTAATCGTAAGGTTGACTCCACAATAGGCTTAATAATAATAATAATAATAAAATGATATTATAGAATAAACTGTGTCGCTTTCCAATTTGCAAAATCGTTTAAATCGAATATTTTACGTTGGAACTCATCTGGAACATTTGTTAGGTTTTCAAGAAGTTTTGATGCCAGGAAAATTCCGTCGCCGGTGTAAAAAACGGTATCAAGTAGTGGTACCGGCCCGGTGCTGGGCCGATACTAATTTTGATGCCGGCATAACTACGTTTCCGGTGTAAAAACGGTATCTAATGCCGGAACCGGGCCGGTACTAATTTTGATGCCGGGAAAACTCCGTCGCCGGTGTAAAAACGGTATCAAGTAGTGGTACCGGGCCGGTACTAATTTTGATGCCGGCAAAGCTACGTTTCCGGCGTAAAAACTGTATCGAATGCCGGAACCGGGCCGGTGCCGGGCCGGTACTAATTTTGATGCCGGCATAACTACGTTTCCGGTGTAAAAACGGTATTGAAAATTAGTACCGGGCCGGTGCCGGGCCGGTTGTCTTTTATTAACCGGCCCGGTACCACAGTGCCGGTACCGGTTATTGTTCGACGTTACTACCAGGCCGGTGCCGGGCCGGTTGTCTTTTAGGAACCGGCCCGGTACCACAGTGCCGGTACCGGTTATTGTCCGACTTTACCACCGGGCCGGTGTCGAGCCAGTCGTAGGCATCGGCACACCACCGACTTTTCTGCCTGGGCCACGGCATAACCTAGTATAAAGATAATGCAGCTAAAGAGTTAAAAGAATTATTTCTTTAATAATACATTATTCAAGAAATATTTCTTCTTCCAATTAATTAAATCTCGCCCGAGAGTCCAATTACAAATTATTTTTTTTTATTATATTCACATTGAATTTATATATAAATTTATCATTTGTTTTGTTAAATAAACTTTTCTAACTACCCAGGTAGAAATTTCAACTCTATAATGACCACTTATTGGGAAATTTTTATAGATTCTGGCTAGTGATTGACCAGAAAATCTGGCAAGTGATTGTCACTGGTTAGATTATCTGGCCAGTGACTGGCAAGTAACTAACCAGTAACTGGACAGTTTTCTTCTCAAAATCTAGAATAAAATATAATTTTCCCCGGCTCTTTTTATTTTGTTTATAATTACATATTTATTTATATTTTTGTGTCTATTCAAATATTTAAGACTAATGAACAATTACCTACCAATAACACTTAAATCTAAGAATGAAAAATTCGCATGCATGGGGGATCAAACCCTACACTGAGAAAACTGGAGAGTCAAATTCAGAGGTTCAAAAAGTGTATGTTTTCTTTGCTTATGAAGAGAGTTGAATAGTCCTTATAAAATAAATTTTGAATTGGTAATGGAAATCTACTTGTATATTTTCTCCCATTATATCTGAGGGTTAAAAGTTGCGCAGAAAATGTGCACGATCTGATGCGCGCGAACTTATTTTTGTGACATTTTATGTATTTTTAATTTATGGGTTAGGTTGCCATATTTATTCATTTCGCGCCGGATAAGGAAGGGATTTCTCAAGATGGTTAATTTGTCCCTCTGTTATAAACTCATTTTCCCTCCAAGAGAAATGGCACGAATATCTGTCAATGGTGTATTTAAATATTTAGATTGTTTTCCAATAGTCAACTCTCAAATATGAACGATTAGTTCTTCCAAATGTTTAGTCCAATCCTCCAGTTTTCTCAGTGTAGACCCTATGGAGACACAACGTATATACGTTACCACGCAGTCACGGTGACTATATAGATAGTAACTTATCATAACTACAAGTTTAACAACTGAAGTTCTATTCCGATTGTGACCACAATTTCTGGCCAGTGACTTGTCAGAAGTAATGATCAGAAATCATGACCATAGATAAACTGTTCAGTCACTTGTCAGAGACTTGACGGCTTATCTTGTCAAAATTTAGAAAAATGTAAACTTTGGTAATGTGACAATGAAACGATCATAACTTTTATATAAAGTTACTTTAGACTTTTCTGTTTTTGACCGTATGGAACATAAAAATTATTTTTAATATCTAATTATAAATGATTGACTAAGAGTGTATTTTTATGGGACTGGTGCTTTGTTTTTTTCCTCAGTAACTAGTCAGTTTCTGTGTCCGCAGTTTCTTTTTTTGATAGTGTCAAGATTTTCTGGCTAGAGATTTGGAAAAATTTAGAATAATTCTTTTAATAGGATTCGGCAAGTTTTTCTGATCAGTGGTGGACCAGTTCTTCTAGGTGGAATCTTAAATAATTTTTCAAATCAGTGACTGGCCAGTGCATGGAAAGAAATTCTTATCACAATTATGATCAAATTTTCTGGTCAGTGACTTGACAAAAGTACTGGCCAGTCGCTTATTCAGGACTGGCCAGATTGTCTACTATCTCGCGCATAGAGGATACGAGCGTTACATTTCGGTCTAGACGCTAGATTGGAAAGGTGCCTCGGGCCAGTATAACTTCTAAACAAACTAGACGAGGGGACTGCGTAGCGCCATTTCAATTTTCTTCACGGGAGTTTCCAACGGAATCACATAAAAGCTTTTCTAGACATTTCATTGGAAGGTTCATTTCCTTTATATTCCGGAATGAATTCTCCCACATCTTTTGTTTCGTACGAAGTTCGTGCAACAACGAAGGGGCCTTAAGTGTTTATACATGCGGGGTCCCCGAGTTCTCCGCACGATCAAAGCGATATAAATTCATGACATATAGAAATATTTAGAGTAGGCAGAACGATAAGTGAGCAAAAGTTGTCTCGGAGAAAGTCAACTCCTTCCTTCTGTCTACAGTTTTCTTTTATAATATAGAACATTATTATATATTATTTATTTTATATATATGCATATATATTATTGTACCCAGTGTTGCCGTTTTCATGGAAATTTCCCGGAATCCGGAAAATTTTAACAAGCATGGGAAATTTACATGGAAATAGAAAATGAAAATAGAATGTTGGTTAATGACAAATTCATATTATAAATATAATTAAAATTAATTATTTAATGATTTTTTTGCTTATTAGTTAATGTTACATTATTTTTACATGTAAAGTGGAATTTCTTCGAAGATGTGCATTCGTGTAACTAATTTTTATTTTTGAGACCGAAAATTAATTTTATTAACTTTATAATTTAGAATAATTTACTACATATTTGTAAGTGTGTGTTAAAAGTAAATTTTTGTTGATTCCTTCATGTACACTGAAAAAAATACATGAGACATTTTCAACTACATCCCCTTAGTAGAGTAAAAAGTAATAAAACGAACTACTTTTTTAGTTAGTCTGGCTACTTTTGATACTTATTTTAACTGTTTTATGTAGTTAAAAATTATTAATTAAATTAATGTAATTTTACAGTTAACTTTGTAACTGC